TCTTCTTGTTGTGCCGACGCAGGTATCGTGTCCACTGGGCAGGCCAACGTCTCTTCCTGCCAGGCATTGAAGTCGGCGTCTAATTTTGTCAGCACGATATTTCCTTTTTCTTGGATGACTTCTAATTTTGCCAGGAAATCTTCTCTGTCTTTCCTTCTATCGGCCTTCATTTCTTCCTTGTCCTTTTTTCGGTTGGCTTCCATTCTGTCTTCCATCCGCACTCGGTCGGCGTCTGCTTTCACTTGGTTGGCTTCCATTCTAGCCAGCATTTCCATTATTCGTTGCATATCTTGTTTCTCCATTTTGAAGCAGTAGAATAGTCGAAGCAGTCGTACGTTTAATTATTCTTTGAGGCGTATTTAAGCTCGAAAAATTCTGACACCAAATTCTCATGTGTTTTGAGTACGAATCTCGTTGATCACGTGTGCAAGTCCAGATCCCACTTCTGACACCAGTTGTCGCGTATCGCGGGGTATATCGCGACAAATAAATTCTCGATGTATTCGATGTAGCGAATTTTATTTCACATTCGCACTTACAATCACCCAAATTACAGATTTATGGTTACTGCTATCTGCAGTATCACAATTAGTACACTCCAAATGCCGGAATACAACTGACTAGTTGCTGGCTAACTCGACGATAGGTCCAGGACTCGCTGACTGACTCAGTACAACTGACTGTGAATAGCCTTCGCTGCTCCCCATGTAACCTTGATCGGACCATAATGAAAACCGCTAGCGGAAGTAACCGCTGTTACTACTTGGTGACGTCACCGCTGTTGACTCGCGTTGCCTAGCGACCAGGATCCTAGGACTCGGCTAACATCGGCTCGCTTCGGCTTCACTCGGCGCATCACGGCTGGCGGGGGGTGGGGGAGGGCTCATAGCTCAGCATGTCACAATATATACACCACTGAACTGCATTACTAGTAAAATTGGATACAATTAATTAAAATACTTGGCATAAAAGTACAATAAATTAGACTATATAAAACGAATGTTATAGTATAAAACAAGATTAAAATTCTTCAGGTGCTGCTTTTCATCATTGAGTCAGTTGTTGGTTTTTGCAATTTTGTTGTGTTCCCATGGACAAAATTGGAGGATTCTGTATTTTGTGTATATATAATAAACTGTTTTGGAGTCTCATGATGTAGATGTAGTAATATTAATGTTAATCTGAAAATGATATGAGAGCAATTGTATTAAATTTTGTTATAATTAACAATTGATTTTGGTATTGAAGATATTTAGTTGGTGCCTCATCTTACAAAGTATTGTCCATTTTGTAGCCAAATTTGGCACTGACCTCAATATAGTTGTGTTGTGACGGTTTTAATAAAGAAATTGTATATTATAACACAAAAGGATGCATGAAATGAAAGGAAAAAAAAAAAGGGTACAGTTGTTTAGTGATAGGATATCATACATAATACTATGAGGTTGCTGGTTTGATATCATTCTGAATGTTTATGCCCCAACAGAAGATAAAACTAATGATATGAAGAACAGGTTCTATGAAGAACTAGAACATGTATTCGATAAATTCCCTCAATACCACAAGAAAACTTTGTTCAGAGATTTCCGTGCCAAAGTAGGTAGGAAACACATTTTCAAACCAACAATTGGAAATGGGAGTATACATGAAATTAGTAATGATAATGGAGTACTAAACTTTGCCACATCCAAAAATCTTATTGTCAAAATTATATTATTTATTACAGTTGCACAGTATACATGGATGAACTTGAGTTTGAAGAATAATAATAATAACAATAACGAAATCCTTGAACACAGTTCTAGATTTCTGCAGTTCTACAATCCTAGTTCAGTGTTCAAGGAGTTCAAGGAGTTCGTTATTATTCTTCAATTCTTCAAAATCAAGTTCGTCCGTGTATATTGTGCAACTGTAATAAATATTATAGAACACTTCAATAAGAAGTTGTCTCTTCATATAATGACATCCCACAAGTCTATTATTGTACCAGCTCACAAGAAGGGTAATAAAACTGAGTGTAGTAATTATCATGGGATATCACCGCTATCCAATATTCTGGTGTCAAGGTTAAGTCCATATATAGGTGAACCTATTGGAGGTCATCAGTATGGGTTTATGACATAACAGATCAGATCTTTTGCAGTCATCAGATACTGGAGAAAAATTGGAGTACAATGAGACAGTACATCAGCTATTCGTAGACTTCAAGAAAACCTGTTATGCAGTCAGGCGGGAAGTATTGTACAATATTCTGATGTCTTTAAGTAATTAATTTTCAATAAACTAAAAAGTTTTATCTTTGACTATAATTTTAAGATATTAGATCCTTATATAGAAATGTGTGTTTCAAATATGTATAGTATATATCCAATTAATGTTAATGATACTTCTGATAATGGCCAAGACAGGCTGAAGCATGTAAGGTAATTTGTGTATTCACAATAAATTAGTCACAACTGAAAGAATATATCCAGTCATCAATCCAAAACTCATCTATAGTCACAATTCATACACATGACAATATTATACGTTGATACAGAAGAAGACACATGTAGATAAGATGTGTTGGTCATTATTCTGTCATAGGCAAAAATACGGTATTTAATTATTTTCATAGAATTTCTCATCTAAATGTAGATATATAAAATGTCAGAGTAAATACAGTATGAATCTACCTATTATGTTTAACAGCAAAATATTTTAAAACAATAAACTAATAGCTAAGACTAAATATCAAACTGTTATTTGTACATTTACACCTTCATATAAAACACAACACAGAAGGAAACAGTTCTTAAAATTGTTGAAAAAAAATTAATCATATGCACAACTTACCTGTTACTCTGTCAAACATGAATTCACCCCCAGTGCCAAAGGTTAGTCTTTTTATTATTGTTACAATGGTCTTGTTTCTAACTTCCTTGTCCTTTAGAACTGTTGGCATGTATGATACAAATACCTCATAAGTCCTCGCACAAACACGGTCTGTTTTGGCCACTAGTTTCTTTGCTAATTTTTCCAGACTTCTCACTATTACATCCAGGAACCTTGGTGTTAACATACTTGGCACCTATGCAGAAAATAAACTTGCAGTACATGTAATTGCACAGCGCATAACATGGCATATTCAGTGCTATATCTCAAAAGACATGGAGAATAAATCCACTCCCTGATACAGTTTCTCTGAACAGCTGATACTGTAGTCATATGACTATTCAGGAAAATGTGTGTTGCTATAAAATGCACAGATTCATTTCACTCAAAAAATGTCTGCCTTTGAACAAATGCAGTAAAATGTGATTTTCAAAAAAAAATACCATATATACTTCTGTTCAGATTTTTTGTGTTTGTCAGATACTGAAGAAAAAATGGGAGTACAATGAGACATTACATCAGCTATCCGTAGACTTCAAAAAAGCCTATGATTCAGTTAGGAGGGAAATATTGTACAATATTGTCACATGCGGTATGTGTGTGACTATAGATGGGGTTTTGGATAACTGCATTTATTGACCACTTATATGTCATAACTACAAATAACTATAACACTTTTGCTGATATCTACACTTTACAAATCACTAGAGTACACAGTCTGGTGTTTTCAGTGTCACCAAACATTTCCTGGTTAATGGCTCGAATGATGGCGAACTATACCGATCAAGATACTGCCACTTGTCAGTGAAGTTGGTGCCAACTTTTTCAGATAGAGGGCATCACTGGTCAGTGCAATGGATCCCCATGGCTGTTAATCTCAGTGTTCTAGACCAGAGCTGCTATTTCCTTGAAACAGCGCCTCAATTAGCCTCACGAGGCCGAGTGGATCCCGTTCCATAACCCACTATTTTCTCTGAAAATCTGGTAGCATCAGAAATCGAACCCTTGACCTCTGGATCTGTAGCCAGGAACTCTGGCCACTAGACCACAGAGGTGGCCCATTCATGATATATTACAAACCTGTCTTTAAAGAACATATATAAAGTTAATGGCTGAAACATGCAGATGTAAAACTTCTACATAGCCCTACTAAGCTAGATATACTCGAAGGACTTCTAACTATTTATGCCCTAAATGCTTCCAGAGACACACCTGTAATTTATCTTCAATGTGCTTCAAGACATAGTAGAACATTTCCACTGCTATATACTTCTTGCTTTCACTTGGCTTCTCAAGATGCTCTTCAATGCCCAGTTCCCAAAATAATGACACCAATGCTGACTGTGACAGTTGCTTACAAAATTCTTCATGGACTGGATGATATAAATCAGAAAAGTTCCTAACAGTCTGAAACAAAAACATAAAGTGAATCAGAATTCATACCTTAGTGGAATCGTGTCAAATGAACTAATTGGTTTAAATCAAACCTTGTATAAAAAGCATTAATTTTGCATAATTTGTTAAATTAAATCTGAAATATGAACTGTCATTCAGAACATTTCACGTGTCACAATCATTATACAGTGAAAACAGAATTTTATGTTCCTTGAATCTATGTTTTACTTGCATGTTTTTATTGGTCTCACCAAAGCAATATTAAATTTTCATTTATAATCTTTTAACCAGCAAATTGGACTTAAATTTGAGGAAGAAACTAGTGAAATGCTACATTTGGAGCATAGCTCTGTATGGGGCTGAAACATGGACACTTAGGGCAGTAGATCAGAAACATCTGGAAAGTTTCGAAATGTGGTGTTGGAGAAGGATGGAAAAGATCAGCTGGACCAATTATGTGAGAAATGAAGAAGTGTTAATTAGAGTCAGTGAGCAGAGGAATATCCTACATGAAATAAGAAAATTGAAGGCTAATTGGATTGGTCATGTTTTACGCAGAAACTGCCTTCTAAAAGAAGTTATTGAAGGAAAGATAGAGGGGCGGATAGAAGTGACAAGAAGACGAGGAAGAAGACGTAAGAAGATGCTGGATGACCTTGGGGACAGAAGAGGATACTGTCATTTGAAGGAGAAAGTTCTAGATCGCATTAAGTGGAGGAATTGTTTTGGAAGAGACTGTGGACCTGTTGTCTGACAGATTACTGATGATGATGATGATGATGATGATACATTTTTAATTTCTATCCAATTCCTTGATTAGTTGTTCAAACTGAGCATAAACTGGCCTGCTGCTGTCATTTTAAGTGATTTCAATTGTAAATCAGGCAATAAAATTGATCTTGGTTATAACTTCCCATCTCCTCTATTGTCTTCATGTATGCAGAGCAGAGTCATGCGTCCTACCATTGCCAAACCTGTGCAGTGACGAATGACTTATGAAGCAAGTTGAAAGTAACTGCAAGTTCCACATGCTTATTCAATTGCTATGTTAGTGCTATTTTTTTAATCTACTACAAACTGAAACGGTAAAAGAGTTTTATTTTATTTTCCATTTACAATTCAGTATAAATGAGAGGAAGTTCCGCTCACTTATTAAGTAACTGCATTAATGTTGTTTCATGAAAGTATTGCATATTAAACCACCAGACAGTTTTATTTTAATTTCTGGTTGTGAATCACTTTTAATTATGATGAGTGGACCAAAGAAGAGGCAAATGTTCTCTGTTCAAAATAAAAACTGGACATTTTAGCCAAATTGGATGCTAATAAGGAAACACGTGTTGGACTGTCTGCCACATTATGAACTGTGCCATACACACTTAACACTACTGTTAAAAACAGGAAAGTCACTGAAAAGTGTTATGCATAATGTGGCGGGTTACCTGGTCAAAGAAAAGAGCCTAGAACAGTCACCACTTCAAGAATTGGAGAGTCTGTTGGCAGTATGGGTTAAACGAACTAAAGGCAGCGTAACAATCAGTGATACAATGCTGAGAGAAAAGGTTCTACACTTTGCTATAAGGTTGGGCACTCAAGCTTCTAAAGGCTGGACTGACATTTTTTAAGGAGCAACAGTGTTGTGTTGAAAACTGTATTCGGAGAGTGCAGAAGTGTGGACACTTCAGCGGGGGGGGGAGTACCGGTTACTCCACATGAAGCATTGTGATAAACCATGAACCTCAAGTCAGGATAGCCAGTGTCCCAGCCAAGATTCAAACTCAGGGCCCCACAAAATACAAGTCTTGAGCATTACCATGAGACCATCTGTTTGGAACTATTGCCATTTAGATTTTACTTTCAACACATGACACTGAAAGTCAATTGGGAAGTTGGAATTAAGAGACAGGGGTAAAACCCCAAATGCAAACAGTTTGCTTGTTCCATTTGATAAAAGCAATACTTCACTTACCATTAAAAGTTTTGCACAACTTTGTATAGAATCTTCATGAATTACTTCAGTGGTACCTATATGGCTTAGTAAAAATTTCTTCTTCACGACATGTGGATACAGACTGCGAGCCAAGAGCACAAAGTGAAACATTTCCAGAGAAAGTTCAGGCAAAGGTTTAATTCTGTCTTTCAGAACAGGCCAAATGTAGTCTTGAAATGACTGTTCTTCAATCTGAAATTAGAATTTATTTACATTCCATGGTTTCTTTCAGAACTAAGCTGAAGATCCTGTACATACATTAACCCTTTGATTGCCAAGCCCTACCATAAGACTACCTCTCAAAGATGCCACAACTACTTAGCAGTAAACACTGTACACAAGAATCCACAATCCTTCTGCAAATTACCTTCAAATGACAATACATGCAGAATATACGAATGTCTGTTCTTTCCTCTAAGCACCAGTATATAAAATTTCATGCCTATTGACAGAAGTGTTCTACTAAGTGATTAACAATGACCTGCTCTCTCTGGCTCTGGAAATTGTAATGTAGATATGCTGAGCCAATATAATTAGTGTATGGTGTTCAAAGAGCTAATAGAAGTCCAACCAGCAGATAGCAGAGAGGTTAAGAATGCATTAAGCTATACCTCCACTCACTCATACGTCTTCTAGTGTGGTGCTTAGTTAAGCACTGGGACAACTTCACAGTTAAAACAAAAATGTAAAACTATCCCTGTAACTGGCCATGGAGAACCCTAGTGCTGAGACGTTGAGGCTCCCACATTTTCTAGACATTTGATTCACAGACAGAGGTGAGGCTGTCAGCCTTATGGGTCAGCCACCCTTTACCCCCAGGAATATTCCGGGCACCCATTTCTGTTAGAGGCTGAGCCGACCCCAGGGCCATTGTGCAACTGGAAGAATTAGGTCAACTGAAAAATCCAATGACCCCACTGGCAATCTAACCCTTGACCTTCCAGTTTGTAACGTAGTGCCTCAACCAACTATGATATCATGTACCCCCACTATGTATTTATGTATGTAAGGGGTGGGCCATAAAAACTGGCCCCAGCACTGCGACCTTAAATGATCTACTGTACCCCCACTCTACTCTTTACCTTCACATACAATTATTGTTATGTTGGCAACTCTCTAATGTTAAAATATTATGCTAGAGTTGGCAACGTCATAGTAAACAATTTTCAATAACAGACGGCACTACATGGGCTGCTCCTAATTTCTCTAGTGTTATGTGTTATTATGGTTATGTGTGTAAAAACAGAATCTCTCTATTGTTATGTGTTACCATGGTTGTGTGTGTGTGAATATATATAAAACGCCTTTGTGTATCAAACGTTAGCCTTAATAAAGCAGGGATAGATTGAACATTGATTCTTACTTATCATTCGATTCACGTAGAAGTGACCATAACATTAGTTATTTATGGTCAAATTATAAGTACGTTATGAAACATGGAACAAAATAATTTTGTCAAAGGAATATACTCTTAATAAGTTTAAATGCTTCACTGTTTACAATAAAAGTAAATTCTTCTATGGCATAGTAGTAAGATATGAGAAAAATCTTTTAATACTAGCTTAAATGATATCATGGAAGACATAGTTTGTTGTGCTATAATACTGTAACTATTTTTCTCTTTCAACTGAAATCTGAAAGCCTAAAATATAATTACCTTATTAAATAGCGTTATCAGAAAAGTATGTGATGGTAGCACAAGATAACTTCTCTTAGACCCAGATTCAATAGTGCTGTTGAAAATTTCAGTTTGTTCTTCAGCAGTACCTTTGAACAATAATCCTGATCTGATCAAGGCTCCATATATCAAGATATGTCCTGTGTAAATGTCAGCTTCTTCCTGCACACAATAAAAGCGTGGATTCATTAACACTTTCCAATAAAATTCATCCGTAAATGATCTGTAAGTATGATCATATTAGGGTGATTGAATCAAAATGGATGAGACAGTCAGTGTTTATAGCATGCTGATTAAAAGGGCATATAACTTTTCTTTTGTTGGAAATTGTAAAGACATGAAACCACTCAAATGCCTAGACAAATATGGAAGCAAAATATTAAAATGCAATTGAAAAAAGTGTAAGAGGGTCGACTGGACTCATATGACTCAGGACAAGGATCAGTGACGGGCTTTGTGAACACTGTAATGAACCTTGTTCTCCCAAAAAACGTGAGGAATTTCTAGATTATAAGACAATTCCTTTGCACCTATATAGAATACTCTGCCACTTACAGAAGAGAAACTTACACTTTTGGAACTGTTAGCAGAATGAAGTTCCTTCTTTACTGCCGTTAAAACCATTTTCACAGTCAAAAATGAAAATGTTGACAATAAGCCAACAAGAGCAGTGTAGAATCCCTTCCTTGCAGAAATTCGGGAAGATGCAACGCCACGCACCAAACGATTCAACGCATATTGCAATTCAGGGCATATGCCTTCATCCTATAAAATACAATTCCCTTCATTAGTACAACTATATTTTCTAAGAGAAAACTTACGGGCCAGGATAGCACAGTAAGTATATTGATAGGCTAAAGGCTGGACAGCCGGCGTTCAATATCATGCAGGGGAAAGTGATTTGTCTCAATTCCACAGCGTCCAGGCGGTCAAGAAGTGTTCTAGAATCCACCCAGTCTCATATCCAATGGGTACCATGGGCTCTTTCCCCGAGGATTAAGCGGTCCAGGGCATGAAGCTGACCACTCACTTCCATCTAATGCTAGGATCAAGAATAGTGGAGCTATACCGCCACTCCCCCATACATCTCCATGGTGTAGTGCTTAATCAATTACACACAGCAACAGCTTAAATACAACTTGCAAAACACCACCTAGAAAATCCCATTTAGACTATAACCCACCTGAAATTGTACCTGCTTGCTATAAACGTGCTCCAAAAGCTTAACTCCAGCTTCTATCCTCAATTCTTCATTGTTATCTGCTAATGCTGTAAAACAGTCTAACACAGTCGAATCCATTTTTTTCACAGCTGGGTGTTCTAACATGTGGTCCTCACTACACTCCATTTTACCAGACAAACGTACTCGATACTACATTGTAGCCCATCATCAACACTCATCAGTTAAAAATTTACAACATTACAATCGACTGTTGGCAATTTGAGATGATACCTCCCATTAAAATTTCATGTCATGTCTAAGTATATTTACAATAGAAACTGTAAATGAAATTCGCCTTATTTCAGTAATCACATGTAGGTTCCTGGCATTTTCGTCGCATCCAACATGGCTGGACGAGGTAGTTATAATGAGCGCGAGCATAGGCAAGTAAACAACTAATGTGAATGCGTGCTATGTGCTTATTAGTTTGATATATAACCTAATGGACATGGCATTTTATATTTCATTCACTTTAGTTTTTATAAGAAACGGCTGAAATTTGTTTGTAAATGTGAGGTTAAGTCTAATAATGTGAGGCGGTGTATGTGAGAGATTCGTATAGGTAAGGGTCGAGAAGTAACGGACTGGTTCTGTTTCAAAAATGTGTAAACTGTAACCGGATCTTTCGCTTACAGAGATTATGGAGTAGGCGAACGAGAAGGAAAGCCTTTGCCTACAGAACCTCCATTCACAGCATATGTCGGAAATCTGCCTGCAAGAGTTGTACAAGGAGATGTCGAGAAAATATTTGATCAAAATCACGTAAGAAGTCAAGCTTTAATTACTTGCCCATGTTATTTTGGCATGTCATTTGCAGCAAAAATGGTGATTGTGTTTTGTTTAGAAATACAAGGAAGGAATTAATTTTTATACTTTTTCTAAGGTGAAAAATGTACGCCTGGTTCGTGACAGAGAAACAGACAAATTCAGAGGTTTCTGCTACGTTGAATTTGATGATATCCATAGTCTGGAGGAGGCGTTAGCACTTGATGGTGTTGTCAATGTTGACGGCCACAATCTAAGAATTGATGTGGCTGAGGGAAAACGCAGTGATCGTGGTGGTGGTTTTGACAGGGGCCGATCACGAGGTATGTGTTGAAAATTCAGCCTCACTTTCACAGTATGATATCCTTATTCCTACATTGCTAATATTAACATGTACTGTCTGCAAAGGTGGCTTCCGGGGAGGAAGAGGTGGTGATCGAGGTTATGACGACTTTGGAGGTTAGTGTTTGACAAGAGTTGTACAACTTGAGTTGTGTGAATCATTCTCTAGTTATGTAACTATATATGTATGGTTTTAGGTGGAGCTGGTAGTTTCAGTAACAGAGGTGGAAGAAGTGGAGGTGGCTCTGGCGGATTTTCAGATTCTCGTGGAAACCGGGGTAGCTATGGCCACTTTGAAGAGGGTGGTGGAAGTGGAGGTAGGGAATGGAGTCGTGGTGGTCGAGGAGGTTATGGGGGCCGATCCAGGCCTGATTCTGGTAGTGACAGGAGACCCCATCCTGAAGAATTTAAGGAACCTTCTGCAGGTACGAATGTAGTCCTTGAACGTGAGAAATATGTACAGTGAGTTTTGTTGTTTGTCAGATTAAATATTCTGATGTACTCTGAATTATTTCAGGAGATGTGGGTAAAAGGACAAAGTTACAGTTGCAGCCTAGAACTGTAAACAACCCTCTCAACCAATTGGCGGAGACAAGTCAGTCATCTAAAATATTTGGTGGCGCAAAACCTCGTGAAGAGAAAATTCCCAAGTAATAATATACACTACGATTTATATTGTGATTGGCTACTGCAAAGGCAGGTAAGACATTCACTTATGAAGAAAAGAATCACTTAGCTTTTGGTACACAGTGGGATATATTGTAATATGTCATCTTTAGAATGTATATGATGTCTCTTAACATAAACCTTTTGTGGTTCAAGCGAAAAAAATGACTGTAGGATGTGGAATAAGTCATAAAAAACACAAACTTGCACACTACACCTCAAGCTTTTACATAAGAATAAACAGAGGTTACACATAAAGTATTCAAAAATACATCCACACGTATATCAATAGCTTAGGATAAAACAGAACCCTTTTAGTAAGAGACCATCAGCATACCAAAGCTCTGGGTCCTGGAGAACAAATGGTGACATGAGAGGCTTGTTAGCTTGATAATGCACTGGTGTATGCACCTCCCTTTGACAACTGACATGCTGGGTTATAGCATGTAAATGTTTACCACTGCGGGCAAGTTTGCAATGAAAAGCTGCAAAAAATGCATCTCTCAGTTCTGCCATCTTTCTCTGTTTCCAATGTAACAACCCGAGAACTGGACAGATTTTCATGAAGTTTGGTATTGGGCATTCTACTAAAATTTGTCAGTATATCCTGTTTTGATTAGAATCAACAGCTTACAAAATATGAGATTCTTGCAGTAGTGACTGTTCTGTTCTGTCTTCTGGGATGTGGCATCATGTAGTCTGATAGCAGTTACTGATGTTTCAGAGGACACATGTACCATGCAAGCAGGAAGTAGAGTCTTCTGCTTTGTGTGGCTTTCTCTTCAGTCCTGAGGATGAAAACAGTACTTTGCACCAAAACGTCAGTAAACTTCTACCAGACTACAAGGTGTCACATCCCAGAAGATAATATTCTTAATATACAAAAAGACTGACATTCAATTCTGTGCTTATCTCAAATAACTTTATACATTTTTGGGGGGCAGAAAAAGTTGTAAAGAAAAGTGACATTTTATTCCACATGGACTTTTTATGGAAGTCTTATGGTTTGAGATAATTAAACAAAGAGTGAACATGACAGAACCTTTCCCTACTCGTTATATTACTATTTTTTTCTTTACAGATCCAAGTGAGACCCTCTAAGTTGCGTCCATAAGTCAAAGCAGATCATCAGTCATTGGGTTTTATTCGGAACACTTACTTTCATGCGCAGGAAACATCAACTAAATTCAATTGTTGATAAGCTCTGTTTCATGAAACATACTTTGACCATTTTCCCATACTTCACCTAATCCTTATGCAGAAATACCAATTAAAAATTTCTTTCCTAGTATAGGAATTACTGATTTTTTTTAGGTTAGAATGATTTTGAACATCAATATTTTTATCAACTTGGCTTATGTTGTGCTCAGCGAATTCTTTGATAGCTGACTTTCAAGCCAATTCTAATTTTTGCTCCTGTTGTGTAGTGACTGAATATTTGCAAGCATGTTTAATGTTCACCATATCTAAACTCTTATTTATAAGAAATAGAATTGGTTTGGAAATGAAGATAACCAACCTTGAAGATCGATTCAGCAATTTTTGAGATTTACCACACATGAATACCTTGTCTACTGAAGGATGTGAAGCCGCTCGTAGCCTGATGCCTCGTCAGTCTTAAATTGGAATTCATGTTTATAGCACCCTTAGATTGGTTCTTGTGCTGCTGTAATATAAAGACGCTTTCCCATTAGATATGGACAGTGTTATTTCTTTCAGTAGCTAAGGTATAAGTTCAGAAGTACAGTACTGTAGGCAAGTGATTTTTGTACAGGATTACTGGAACTACATACTAACGCTGTTCAATTTGTATGTTGTTTTTTTTTTGTGGGGGGGGGGTAATTAGGTATGTGTATACTTGAGAGGTTAGTCTCTCTTGAGACATTGTCGAATAATTTAATGTAATTCATAGGGTGACTGCAAAAGTGTTGATGTTTTTTTTAATAAAAATTAAAGTCACGTAAAAATTGAATAAATAATAAAAAGCACTGTCAGAAACTCTGAATGCATTCTCTTACTGTGTTACCAGTTTTATGCCCAGTAAGTGACAGACATGCTGATAAAAAATGAAAAAGAAGGAAAAGGAAAAAATATATACACTACTCGACCTTGAATGTATACAGATAAATGATTTTTGTACTGAAGGACAGATGTACAAGTATGAAATAAAAAAATATAGCATCAATGAAACTGATGCATGTTTTCTAATTAAAGAATAAAAAGTGGAAATGAAAGAAAAATGCCAACAATTCAGTAATTGTTAAATGGTATTTTTTAATAAAGCAACAATATAAAGAGAGACTAAAGTACTGTTGCTTGTACAGAGTTAAGTACACAAAGTAATAATTATATTAGTAGTTCTTTTCCTTTGCTCCTGTGTGTGTGAGGTTGATATTGAATTTTGACATTACTGGTATTACTGTGTAGGTCAATATGCTTATACATATTAAAAATAATGATGGTTTGCCTCAGACTGCTTTTTCCCCCCCAGTACTTATAAACCTCCATAGAATATCCTGATATAGCAAATGCATATATTTTTATGTGTTCAAATTGCATAATTTTTGGACATTTTCCATGTAACATTTTTTGCAACTATACAGTTCATTCAGAAGCAGTGGTTGTTAGTGGTTTCCCACTAAGTTGACCATGTAAAGAAATTCAAATTATTTTAGATTCACCTTTAATGTTCAGAAAACAGTGAACCATAAATTTGGAAAAATAGTATTAAAAAGAGGTGCAACATATTCCATGTATTTATGAAGTACTGTTTTACATGTGGTAGTTGAAATATGTGCTTTATGGAACAACTTCTGGCTTCTACATGGTAGAATCATTAAGTTCGTGGAATGTGGTTTTATTGCATCGTATTACAAGGTATTCACAAACACTTACACAGAGCCACATTGGCCCTCAAAATAGTTGCTGTTGGCCGCTATGCAAGTCTGCTAACGTTGATATAGCTGTCGAAAACATTGCTGAAACATGTTGGCAGTAAATTCCCATACGGTGCTTTGTGGCCATTCAATGAACTTATTGACTTCGCTAGTATATGGAGACAGAATAATTTGAGAAGTATCTTTCCTGGTAATCTTATGTAATTATGAAACCAGGTTTTTAGAAAACTGAATGACTCCATGATGAGGGATCAGTGTGTGCATACACATCCACTCTTCCTATGTTAGTTTATCATATAATTTATTTTTTATAAACAGAAACTCAAACAGTGCAAATCGTAGGCTACAGGCTGAATAATAAAGAGTGGTTCAATTCCCAGTAGAGGTAAGAGATTTTTTTCTCTTCTTCACTGCATCCAGACTGCCTCCGAGGTCACCCAGCCAATGGATACTTGGAATTTTTTCCCCTAAGAGCAAAGTAGCAAGAACTTGACACTGACAGATTCAGTGTCAAGGTTAAGAATGTGTGGAGTTATACTTCCACTCCCCCATTCGCTTCAAACATGATGTTTGGTTAAGCACAGGGACATCTTCACCTTGTATTGTATGCACCTTTGAGGAATTTGGCTTAGCACCAGTCAGTATTGCGACTAGGCTGTGCGCTGGGCAGCCAAGAAATTGGGGTTTGATTCTTGGCAGGGACAAGAGATTTTTCTCTTCTCTGCAGTACCCATATTCACAGGGGCACAAAGTTTATCACTGACCTCTATCTACAGCTGAGGTTAAGAATGATGGGCTTTATATCCCCCATACTTATTGATATCATGGTTCCTAATTAAGCACAGGGGCAACTTTACGTTTAGTACCACCTGTGAGCTGGGGCCATGTACAATTGGATATTCATCATCTCTCACCACCACCAATAATAATACTCAGATTTCTCTTGGAAGTATAAATGTTTTTTCCAACTGACACTCATCTTTAAGGAAAGAAATCACTGTGGAGGCCTTGCCATATATATGGAAGGATAAAATTTAAATGGGAGTCAATATAGCTCAATCAGTATAGGCTACTGGCTGGATGGCCCAGGTTCAGTTCCCAGTAGTGTGAGATTGGGTGTGGGTACTGGGGGCTCTTCCCCAGGGAATAAAGTGGCAGGGGCATGAAGCTGACCACTCACATCCAGCTAGTGCCAAGGTTAAGAATGGTGAGCCTATACCTCCACTCCCTCATGTTTTCATGGCATACTGCTTAAGTAATTAAGCACAGGGACAACTTTACCTTTATATTTTTTAACATTAAATGAAGAGATCTGTTTCCTGGGATTAAACACTAACTCTGAAATAATCTTGATACTATTCACAAATTTCAGAGTAGAAACACTGCTTTGTGACTAGTTCTGTACAATGTAAATTAAGAATGCAGGATCCCCTTTACATGTATGTGTATTAGTGACATAAGAATGCCTACAGAGTTATGTAGAACACAACATTTTCCCAGATCCTTTTGGATCCCCACCCACTCCACTGTCCTCTATTTCAAGATATGAGCTGGGATAGCCGTGCTATAGGTTGGATGACAGGGTTTGACTCCCATGATACAGAAGCGGTTCTTATCTTTACTCGCACATCCAGAAATGTTTGGAGTCCTTCCCAGCCTGTTACTGAAAGTGTTTCAGGAACTCTTTCCCCTGGGCTAAAAGAAGCTGGAGTGTGAAGCTAACCATTTACTAATGCTGAGATTTAGAATGCATTGTCTTCATAACATGACACACACAGATGAAAATTTCTTCTTCTGTGGCGCAACAGCTCGATGTCGGGCCTTGGCCTCCCTTATCAAGCCCTTCCATTCCTCTCTGCCCTGCGCTGCTCTCTTCCTGTTCCTTGCACCCATTCACTTCTTCGCATCTTCTTCCACCGCATCAATCCATCTAGTTCTTGGTTTCCCAGCACGTCTTCTACCGCCTATTGTACTATATAATATTTTCTTTTGGATACGCTCCTTATCCATTCTCTGTACATGCCCAGCCCATTGAAATCTTTTTAAGCTTTATCGTCACTGAGATCTCCGGCTCCTTATATAATTTGTATAACTCTTTTATTCTCCATATCCCATTCTCTTTTATTGGTACATAAATTTGTCTTTGGATTTTCCTCTTGAATGAACTGATGACTGATTCCTCTTTCTTGTTTAGCCAGGTGAAAATTTACATTTTACCAACTTCAAACTCACTTGGAACTTTGAAAAGTTCTGTGAAATTTATAGGGCTATTAGGAACGTAACCTCTGGTGAGCTGTTAACAAAATGAGCAATGAGAAAAAATGTATTTTATACATAAAATACATACTTGAGCTACTTCTCAATGCAGTCTTTGCCAGAACTGAGGCACTTGTATCAGGGAGTAAGTTCTTGTGTGCCTGTGTCAAAGAAGTCTGTTGCCTGTGAGCTCAGCCACATTTTCACACCTTCCATCAACTCGTTTTTGAAGCACTGTGATTACAACCAGTTCTTCAGGTAGGTAAACAGGTGGTAGTCGCTCAGTGAGATAAGTGCTGTAAAGAGGGTGGTTAAACAACTCCCAGTCAAAATGCTCCAGCAGTGCTCAAGTTTGAGCAGCTGTATGTGGACACACAATGTCGTGGAGGAGCACTACACCAGATGTCAGCATTCCATGTCTTTTGTTCTGAATGGCCCTTTGCAGTTTTCTTAGTGTTTTGTAACACACTTGTGACATTACTGTGGTCCCTTGTTGCATGAATTCCACCGTCCACACTCCTTTCCTGTACCAGTTGCCATCAACTTTCTGGTAGACGTTTGTTTAAACTTTTTCAGCTTGTTTGGTGAATGTGTGCATCCACAGCTTTCATTGCTCCTTGGTTTCAGCATTCACAAATGAAACCCAGGTTTCATCATTTGTTACTCATATGATGTGATTGAGAAACTCATCACCATCTTTGTGGTACTGTTCTAAAAAATCTACAAAAGCCGAAACCATTCTCTGCGTTTGGTGCACATCCGTGAGCATTTTCAGGACCCATCTTGTGCAAAATTTGTGATTGCCCAGCCTAACTGTCATAAACTCTTGGAGAACAGTACATTAAATATGTGCAAATTGATATAGAAATTCTGAAATTGTGAAGTGCTGTCTTTCACAATTTTTTTGGCTCAACACTTTGAACAAGATTATTACTCACTACAGACATTCTATACCATTATCTTACAGTTAGTTCCTTCACTCATTACACTAGCTATAAACTCCTACGCATAATTCACGATGGATTTCCACAGCACTCACATTTTTAGCATGAATAAAGCGGGTAACAGTGTGAATTTTGCAGCTGGTGGGATTGTCAATTGCAGGACATGTCGTCACTCACTCTGTACAGACAAGAACAAACACTAGGTGACCACTTATGTGCTAGCTTATAAGGCAATGGGTTGTGACACTATCTCACATGCATGAGTCCTCCCCGCTCCTACATCAGTTGCCTAAAATAAATGGAGGTTACTTTTGGAATAATCCTCATAATATTTAAAAACTCAGCTCCTATCTCCAAAAATACATGATCCCCAACCAGTTAAGGCTGATAAGGGGTTATAAGGCAAAGATTGTGGAAGAAATAGTATATCTCATGCAATAACTTTGCTGACCCCTTTGATTCAATCATTATTTAGAAAAACACATGTTTGGGGCTTTTCTCTGGCAGTAGCTACACACTGGTACTGTGCACCAGCATCTAGTTCATGAAATAAAGATATCAGAAATCTGTTAACAAAGATGAGGGAAAATGTACATTAAAATAATATTTTTTTATTCTGAAGAAAGTTTGATTTTTTTTAATTACAGTAGTACCCTTCCCTTTGACACATCTGAGTATTGGCACAAAAGCATATGTTACTAGATTTCCTAAAATGAAGACTGAGAAGTTGAAATTAAGCAGATGACATTTCAGTTATTGCCTGCCCATATATTGATTTGAATGTGAATAATATTCTAAAGAAAGAGCAGGGCGAGGTGTTAAATTAGTAACAATTATAACAATTTTTCTGGTTTTAAAAAGCAGTTGGAAAAAAAATACTGCAAAAGTTAAAAGTCAGTCAAGTATCAAGAAAAATCTTCGGATAAATTTATATAGCAAAGTAACACAAAAGATTTTTGTAAAAGACAAACAGTGGCACATAATGTGCAGGATTTGAGGTTCTCACAGTGGTATTTATGAAGAGTTCCATCTTCTGGGACATAATATAATGTAATCTGGTGCAAGTTAACTGACATCTCAGAGCTTTGCTTTCTGCCCAATTCATGCTTGCTTCTAATCTTTCTTACTCCTTAACCTTAAAGGTGGTGGTGGAATCTTCCTCCAAAACATTGGTTGACTTTCAATGGAATACCCATCCCAGATAAGAAACTTTTCTCCAAAGCACCCAAACCAGCTTTGGGACCCATCTAGCCTTCTATCCAATTGGTACTGCAGGCCATTTCCCCAGGGGTAAAGCAGCCAGGGTGTGAAGTTGACCACACACCAACTTCTAGTGTGAAGGTTAAGACTAGTGCAGTGATACCCCCATTCCCCCATCTGTTTATGGTATGGTTAAATTGTAAAGCTATCCCTGTAACAGGATGTGGAAGCCCATAGGGTCATGAGACGATCGGCTCACAGATGGTGCTGAAGTTGTCGGCCTTATGTGCCAGCCGCCCTTTACCCCCAGAAAGATTCCTGGTACTCATTTCTGTTAGATGCTGAGTCAACCCCAGGGCCATAGTGTGGCTAGAAGGATTAGTTTAACTGAAAAATCCAATGACCTCATCGCGAATCGAACCTGCGACCTTCCAGCTTGTAGCATAGTGCCTCGACCAACTACACTACAGCTTGGTTTATGGCATGGTGCTTAATTAATTAAGCATAGGGAGAACTTTAGCTTTTTCATAATATTAGTGAATGTGATTGAAATATATGAGATGAAGTAGATCCTATTACAAGAAAAGACAAAGATAAATCACTGTAACTAATAAAACATTATGAAAGCAAGTGTGATGAATGGCAGGACCATAGAACATCTAAGGTATGGTTTATTTTCTTAAAGTATGACTAGAAAACTTTCAACTGCATGTTGGAAATGATGTATATAATTCAGATTTCTGAAAAAATGGGCTAATATAACCAGTATTCAGGAAATCACAATAATTATGAGAATAACAGACAAATAGAAAATATGAGTGTTGCTTAAGAAGTCTTTCTCAAAGCTTATATTCAGATTATCTTAGATTATCTATGGCTGGTAAAATAAAATTGGTTTTGTTTGTAAAAAGATTGTAATCCACCTGTGCTGACTGTACATAAGAAATCAAATTAAAAATCTTAAACCTGTATTGAAATCTACAAAACTTTGTTTGTACTGGAATTTCCTCTACACCAGATGTAACAGTTATACTACCGTGACTCATGTGCCGGAACTCTCTTTGCAATAATGACATTCAGGTACTGAAAGTAAAGTTGACATTATAATATCTATAATCTTTCTGAATAAGGTCACAGTTTTGAATAGTCTTATCTTTGAAATGAATAAAGCAGTAAATATGAAACAATGTGAATTTTTCTGGCAGGTAATGGAGGTTTTCCATTCATGATGTCAGTTTTCGTCTCAGCTGCATATAGTACTGACAAGCAGTCATGAAGTAAAACGATGGGCTTCTCAAGCTGAAAGAGGAAGAGTTATGACCCCTTTTTCTTTGTGGTTAAGATATTACTGAGGTTGAGATAGATGATGCCATATTGTTTACACAGGGAGGTGAGATCCTACCTTGACACAACCTTCCCGCATGCATGGACTGGTCAATCAAGGCCCATTGCCTGGCTCCCTTGCTCACCTCATGTAACAGCAGCAAACTTCTCGAAGTGCAAGTAAGGATGGCTACAGCTGTTGCTGTGATTAATACTGACTCAGATACCACACATTCCACACTGATGAAGGCACCACACAGAACACCTGTGAAACTGGAAAAAATATGCTGGGGGGGGGGGGGGGGGGGGGTGGTTTATTCAAATATGATGTGTGCGCTGCACC